TGTTGAATAGGAGTGGTGAGAGTGGGCATCCTTGTCTAGTTCCTGTTCTTAAAGGAAAAGCTTTCAGCTTTTCCCCATTCAGGATGATATTGGCAGTGGGTTTATCATATATTGGCCTGCTATTTTAGAAATAGACACCAATACTTTCGTCTTGGAGGCTATAGTTCAAACATGATTTCCACTCAAGCATTCCTCAAGGACGAGGGTCATTTCCACTATATCATCCACATACACACGTGCCTGGAAACCATTCTCTCTCTAGAAAGGGCTAAAAAAGGGTGTTGGATTTTCATGTGTAAGATAGGATAAGTTTCTTTCTCAGAGTATGCTGCAGCCAGACATAGTACTTCTCCTTTGCAGAAACTCTGCTGTTCCAATCATACATGTAGCTGTTGAGTTCAAGGTGCAGATCCAGGAGCGGGCGATTTCTGGAGGAAACAGGAAAGGCAAGATTTAATGCCATGCAAATATCAAAGAGCAGACAGATTGTCATTAGGGAGAAATGAGCCAACAGATGTGAAAGTGCCTTGAAACTGTTCCTTTCTAAATGCTTCACAAGCTGCTTAGTAAATGATCCAAACCAGTGTGCAGCACTCTAGCCCAATGGCCACAGTTCCCTCCCCCAAGAAGCAGCTGAGTTTTACTCTGGGAACACACCAGCCAGATGATAACCAACCTGGATTGCCTATGCAAATGTGGGATGGATGTAAAAGGCCAATACCACAAGTCCATGGAGCATCTACCTTAGAAGGCGGGGTCGCTTCTTCTATAGCCCTCCCCCTCCCGCTGAGCCACTGAGGGGGTTGAGGAGAGAAGGCTATGAAATTTATTCCTGGAGTCCTCAAAGCTACAACCCAGAATGCATTTGACAGGTGGCTCAGAAGCATCATTGTAAATTATAATTAGGGGATGACTGAAAAAGGCCAGTTAATTTTATACTTGAGGTACATTGTGGCTTTCACTCAACTTAAACAGAAACCAGGACAACGTATTCCCAAGAAAACTATTCTTGCCAATAAACATCAAAAATGTTTATATAACAAAGACTTGCAAGACCTCAACAGTCAAATGCCATTTTTCACCTATCAAATTGTCAAAACTTGGGGAAATAAAAGAGCATGCAGTGTTGGTGAAAATTCAGGGACATAGCCATATTCACAGAAAGCTGGTATAACTATCCTAAAAGACAATTTGGTAAGATGCATCCAAGGCTTGAAAAATGCATGCTCACTGACACAGTAATTCCACTTCTGGGAATTTCCTCCAAGAAAACAATTAAACACAAATATTGAGCTGCAAAGATGTTTAACACATTCTTTGTGTGAAAGCAAAACACGAACCAACAATTAAAGATTGATCAAGTAAGTTAAGATAGTGCAGACATTAAAATGATGCTGTAGAAATGTGACCACTGACGGGCAAAAATAGTTGTGATCTACCATTAAATAAAGTAAAAGCAGGTTATAAAGTAATAGTTTCAAATACATATTTATATATGATTGTGCAAAGATTAAAAAAAAAATCTGGAAGGCCATACACAAAGATTTGGTTAACAGAGGTTGGTTCTAATAAGAAGATTATAAATGCTTGTTAAATTCTGCTGTCAGCATCTATATTTTATAATTTCTTTTTATAAGATGTATTTGATTAGAGCATGGTGCTGATAACACCAAGGTCCAAAGTTTGATCCCTGTATCAGCCAGCAAAAAGAAAAAAACAAAAAAAGTATGTACTGCTTTTGTAATAAGATAAACAATAAAAAATGTCTTAATTTTGAGGAAAAATATCCAGCAATAAAAAATGTCTTAATTTTTTATTAAGGAAAAATATCCAAACTACAAATTGATAACACAAAGTGTTAATAAAGTGTGCTGGGTCTATACAATAAAAAATGTCTTAATTTTGAGGAAAAATATCCAAACTACAAATTGATAACACAAAGTGTTAATAAAGTGTGCTGGGTCTATATCATACTCCTCAGGCAATCTCAATTGGCAAAGAAAAATCCCTTTTCTTCCCTGAAAAGAAAGGCATTAAACCTGCCACAGTGGTGACCCCCATGTTGGTAGCAGGAAAATACACAAGTGGTCCAGGATCGGCCACCTCCTGGGTGGCTCACCTTTCTTTCCTTAGTTTCTGGGAGAGGCACTGCAGGTACATGGATGGTGAGCTGGAGGACTGCTCCAGGAGGGACACATCCGCGGTGCACAGGCTCCAGAAGAAGTCAGCTTCTCGGTGAACCATGCAGGGCCCAGGCTGCCGTGCCTTGGATTCCACATTGTTCGCTGCAGGCCCATCTACCTCCAGGAGGCTGCTGTCCTCCAGCTGGCCCTGTGACCCCACATAGTTCTGAATAAAAAAGAGCTTTGGCTTCCCTATGAGAAAAGGGCATTTATCTCCCATGAACATCCTCCTGATCTGATGCAAGGGGAAGCCTGAGTGAGTCTTATCCACACCAAAAATGCTCTGAGAGTTTCCTCGGCTCACCAGGACACACACAAAGCTGTTGTAGTCTTGGTGTTGGGGCATACAGGCCACTTGGTGAAGAGTCTGGATCAGACTGTCCATACTCAGATACGAGAAACATTGGACTGTATAGCCCAAGGAAATGAAGGTGTCTCGAAGAACCTCTGGAGAATATAAACAAACACAGAAAACAACACGTGAGTGAGCAAAGTTCAGAGGAACTAGATAGCAACCCTAGCCATGGACACTACTTGTCTGTTTCTGCTTTTGTATAATATTCTGAAGGTCCTGAGAACTGAGCAGGAAAGACAGAATCAACATGAAGCATGAAAGATGTGACTTTCATGTCCCAGGTTCCCAGTTACAATCTATCCCCTGCTACGACTGTTCCTTGAAGCCCCCACAACAGCTCACCACAGATGTAGACTTAACCCATGAGAGTCCAATCAAACTGAGGGAATAACAAAGCATTTTTCTTTTCAACCAAAAAACAAAGTTAGGATTTTTCAAAAGGCTATTTCTCAAAATAATGGGACACAAGAGTACACGGGGATGGATGCATTTGCAGAGCACGATCCACACGGCTGCAGAAAGGGTGGCACAGCTCACAAGTTCCCTCATCTCCACCTGCTGTGGGTTAATGTGGAGGCCCCTGGGTGTGACCAGTTCCAGACTCCCCAGTTCCTCTCAGGACCTGATTCCCAGTGTGACCTATGACTGAGCAGCAGGAGACTTGGCCAAGATTCCCTACAGTGCCCCCAAGAAGTCTTCTCCTAGTTTCCAGGAATCCTGGATGGACTCTGCCTCAAGAGGCAGTGTATGGTAGTGGGAAGAGCAAACTAAGTCAGATGTGCCTGCCTTCTAATGCTGATCTTATCACACCTCGGGCTGCATGACCTTAAGGAAATGGGTTTCCCCAGCTTTACATGGAAGTGATGACACCCACCTTACGAGACTGCTGTAAGGATCAAAAAAGACAAAGTTCTTGGTTCTCAAAAAGTATTAGTTACTATTTCCTTGTTTAAGATCTTTTTGTCCCTCTTCTAGAAGGTTCTATGGCCTTGGAACCCTAGAAACTACCAAATCTACTTTTTTCTCATCTGCTCAATCTGCCTTCATTGGGGGAATAAACACAGCCTCCTGAATCGTGTTATATCTTTTCAATAGCAAAGAGAGACTTCTTTCTCCTTCCCATTCAGAAATTCCACATCCTTTTGAGCCATCCATTACATTTCTGTTCCTTATCTGAGGGATGCCTCTAATTCTTAGTCCATTCACAGGGCAGAAAAATTGCTCTGTCCTAAGCCCAGAAACCAAACAAGCATATTCCAACTCAGGTTGTCACCCAAACTTAGTCCACTTCTCTGGATTTGTTTCCACGTCTCGTCAATAGGTGCCCACCTTTCTTCTTCCTCTGGGGCATGGTCTTCCACAAGTCTACCACTGCATTCACCCCAAACCAAACAGTAATAATTATAGCAGATATAACTTGCACCAAGAAATAAAGGGGCCCATCTCACACTAGTTTAGGCATCACAGAAAAAGATCAAGGGAAGAAAAATAACTGAAGGCACCCCATAACTGTTCACTCCAAATTCTCAACTCTCTACACCAAATGGGAACAACATGAAGTATAGACAGTCACAAATAACTCAAAGACTCACAGCTTCAATAAAACAGTTTCAACCTTCTTGCCCAGCAGACTTTATCAACCACAAATAAACTATACAAGTCAGAGTGAGCAATCTCAATTTCTCTTCTGGATTCTCAGCAGGAAACAGGAAAAGGATAAAATGTATGTAAAAAACAAAAAAAAACATGGCCTTGGGTAAACAAAAAGCTGGAATAACTAGCTACTGGACAAGTGGGAGTTGGCTTGATTGTTCTGAATTTAACTTACTCAGCCTATGAGCAATATCTGCACATATTCACATAGTATAACTTTCTGGTCAGTCTTAGGTTTAATTGTGGCCCCATATCCTACAGATATGGTGGAGGCAGAGGGATGGGTGAGGTTGGTCAATGGGTACAAAGTTACAGTTAGACAGGAAGAATAAATTCTGGTGTTCTATTACAGAGTAGAGTGACTACAACTAATAATACTGTATTATATATTTCAAGATAGCTAAAAAGAGGATCTTGAATGTTATTACCACAAATAATAAATGTTTAGGTGATGAATATGCTAACTAACTTGATTTGATCATTATACGATGCACACACATTTTGAAACATCATACTGTACCCCATAAACAGGTACAATTAAAAAATAAATAAATTTCTAAAAATTAAAAAATATATATGTCCACAAATTCTTTGCCATGTGTCTCTTAAAAGAGGTAGAGTATATTGGGCCGGCCCGGTGGCTCACTCGGGAGAGTGCGGTGCTGATAACACCAAGGCCCCGGGTTCGGATCCCATATAGGGATGGCCGGTTCGCTCACTGGCTGGGCGTGGTGCTGACAACACCAAGTCAAGGGTTAAGATCCCCTTACCGGTCATCTTTTAAAAAAAAAAGAGGTAGAGTATAATTGTCCTCCCCTTGAATGTGGACCAGGCTTGGTAACTCATTTCTAATAAATGGGATGTGGCAGAAGTGATACTATGTGATTACCAAAGCTAGATCATAAACAGGATACGGCTTCCACCTGCTCTTTCTTTCTCTCTTTGGAACGGATTGCTCTGGGGGATGTGAGCTACCGTGTCATAAGAATACCAAGCAGGCTGTGGAGAGACACACGTGAACTGCAGCCTCCCACCAAAAGCCAGCATCAGCTTCCCAGCCATGTGACTGAACCACCTTAGAAGTAGATCCTCCTATCCCAATCAAGCCTTCAGATGATGCCAACTGACATCTGACCACAACCTCATGAAAGACTCTGAGCCAGAACAGCCCAGCTAAGCCACTCCTAAATTCCTGACCAAAAGAGACTGGGAGAGACATAATTTATAAATTTATATAATTTATAAATAAGTATTGTTGTTTCAAGCCACTAAATTTTGGAGTGATTTGTTACACATTGTTAGATAAATAATTCACCAGGTACGTCCCTTGACCTCTCCTGTCAGGAAAAGGGAAAAATAATCACTATCATTTAACACTATAGTTAGGCTACTTACTTTTCTCCTTTGCCTGGCCCATCATTAAAAGTGAAAAAAAAAAAAAAAAAGAAATATTATATCATGTAAAAAGTGGGAAAAAAATGAAATATTTTAATCATGATTAATTATATCATTATATAATGTAATATAATATCATGTAACGAAATATTATATCATGTATTATATCATGTATATCATGTAATATTATATCATGAGATACAAACAAGGTGCCAATCTCTTTAGACCTATAATCAATAAGCATCATTATGAAGATAATGGGGGACACAATTTGAAGGTTGCTGATAACCTATTAAATAACTCACTTGCCCTCATAAGATCTCTGTGTGGTATAAAAGGCCTAGCCACACTGTCCCCTAGCCATCTCCTCTGAGGGTGCATGCAAGGCTTCAATACCCAGGATCATACACAGGCTTAAAACAGAACAGCACAACAGGAAAATGTGCCTAGAACTCCAGGTTCATCACTGCTACAGTCATCCATCACATAATGATGTTTTGGTCAACGATGGACCACATATAAGACAGTAGTCCCATAAGATCATAATGGAACTGAAAATTTCCTATCACCTAGTGACACTGTAGCCACCAACACATTACTCACATGTCTGTGGTAATGCTGGTGTAAACAAGCCTACTGCAAAATACGTGGAGAAGGAGTGCCTAGCTTACCCACGGGGTGACCCTCCCAAAGGTAGCTTAGACCTTTATGACAGAAAGCCAATGTTATCAAAAAGACAAAAATCCCAAATGCTGGTGAGGACATAGAGGAAGAGGAACTCATACACTATTGGTGGGAATGTAAATTAGTATAGCCATTATGGAAAACAGTATGGAGATTCCTCAAAAAAATTAAAAATAGAACTCCCATGTGATCAAGCAATCCCACTACTGGGAATATATCCAAAGGAAACAAAATTAGTATGTTGAAGAGATATCTGCACATCCATGTTTACTGCAGCACTATTCACAATTGCCAAGATATGGAGTCAGCCTGTCTCCATTGACAGGTGAATGGATAAAGAATGTGCAGTATATTTACTCAATGGAATACTATTCTGCCATAAAAAAAAAAAAAATGAAATCCTGTCATTTGCAGCAACATGGATGAAACTGGAGGTCATTATGTTGAATGAAGTGAGCCAGGTACAAAAAGACAAATACCATATGTTCTCACTCAATTGCGGAATCAAAAAAAGTTGATCTCTGGGGCCAGCCTGTGGCTCACTCGGGAGAGTGTGGTGCTGATAACACCAAGGTCACGGGTTCGGATCCTATATAGGGATGGCCGGTTTGCCCACTGGGTGAGCGTGGTGCTGACAACACCAAGTCAAGGGTTAAGATCCCCTTACCGGTCATCTTTTTAAAAAAAAAGTTGATCTTGTAGAAGTAAAGAGTAGACTTGTGGTTGCCACAGGCTGGGAAGGGTAGGGAGGAAGAAGGATAGACAGAGGTTGGTCAATGGGTACCAAGTTACAGGTAGAAAGGAGGAATTAGCTCCAGTGTTACAATACACAATGAGGTGACTATGGTTAATAATATATATTTCAAATTAGCAAGAAGAGAGGATTTTGAAAGTTTTGCCAATTACGTGTATTGAAACGTCACACTGTAGCCCATAAATATGTACGATTATTATGTGTCAATAAAAAAATAATTCAAAAAAAAAAAAAAATCCAAGCATTTGATACATTAGGACTGACCTCTCAAATGAAAGGGTTGTTGTCTACTTCAGAATTCGTACATTTTTAAGTGATTCTCACCCATCTCTATAACAAAACAATCATTAATAACAGTTAACTAACACTGAGTCCTTGCTGAGTGCCAGGCACGATCCCTGCCTGTAACTTAATTTTCATAACTTTGCAGGGGTGGTACTATTGTAATAGTCCCCATTTAACAGATGAGGAAAGTGAGGCACAGAGAGACTTAGTAACATAACTAAAGAGCCCATGCTCATGCAACCCGTGGCCAATGTAGAAAATACGAAAATTCTTTGCTGTTCCCTTTCATAATAAATACCCTTTTGCACAATGACAAAATCG